GGGATTGAACATTGCCCCCCCCCCCCCTTAACGTCCATGCATTCCAACAATTTCAAATCCTTTTATGGCGAATGTACAATGAAAACTAGAAAACTTTGGAATAAGAAGACGACTTTCAGACTCAATTAATGACTTAAAATTGTTTAATGAACATTAGACAACAGACCCCAAAATCTTCATAAATAATTTCATAAATTACTAGTAAACTATGTGCTTTGAAACAACAACAAAGTATATTGCTATAACCTCGTCCTTCTATTCCAGAGTTTTATGCTTTACTACAGGGTGTCCCAAAAAACATGGGAATTCAGAGACGAATTCGATATCGTCTTTGTTATGAATTAGCATTGTAATACCTAATTTCAAAAGCCATATAAATTCTTACATAAGCCTTATTTTATTTTTCAAAATGATTCATTCTAATTTTATTTTCTGATTAGTCCCGGAAATCGTAATTTAGACCCATTAACGGTCCAATATGATGTGGGACACCCTGTAGCAGACGATACTCTTACAGATTACAGCTTTCTCAGTAGGTATCGCTATACTAAATCAAAGAATTATCTAAAAATACGATATCGAATTTGTCACTGAATTCCCATGTTTATTGGGACACCCTGTATAATAACTTGCAAAGCATTTACTTCATTTTAAAGAAGGCATACAGAATAATTCCGAGTAAATCTAAGAGATATTTTTGTTACATATTAAATTTTCCTTTCCTTAAAACATCTGTTTCGCCCAATGTGGAAGAACATATTTTTGTCGCTGATTTTCAACTTTTCAGTGAGTCCTTTATAAACTCCTCCACCCCCTCCCCCACCCCCCAAAAAAAATTATCTGATAATTCTTAAACTTGAATACGCCCCTGTGTGAAAGTGTTAGTACAGAGTAGAAGATCCTCATGAGTCTGGGTTTCTATATGAGAAAGAAGGTTTTCTACTCCTAGTAGATCTAGCTCTAACCCATCCTAAATATCCTAGTTTGGGTTTCTATATGAGAAAGAAGGTTTTCTACTCCTAGTAGATCTAGCTCTAAATATCCTAGTTTGGGTTTCTATATGAGAAAGAAGGTTTTCTACTCCTAGTAGATCTAGCTCTAATCCATCCTAAATATCCTAGTTTGGGTTTCTATATGAGAGAGAAGGTTTTCTACTCCTAGTAGATCTAGCTCTAATCCATCCAAAATATCCTAGTTTGGCTTTCTGTATGAGAAAGAAGGTGTACTACTCCTAGTAGATCTAGCTCTAATCCATCCTAAAAATCCTAGTTTGGCTTTCTGTAGGATAGTGAAGGTAGTAAATCTGCTCTTGGTCTGGTCTGGTCCTGGTTTCAGATATTAGAACCAACTATACCTGGTCCTGGTTTCAGGTATTAGAACCAACTATACCTGGTCCTGGTTCCAGGTATTAGAACCAACTAACCCTGGTTGTGGTTCCAGGTATTGGAACCAACTTAATCTGGTCCTGGTTCCAGGTAATAGAACCAACTATTCCTGGTTCTGGTTCCAGGTATTATACCAAATATACCTGATCCTGGTTCCAGGTATTAGAACCAACTATACCTAGTTCTTGTGCCAGGTATTAGAACCATAAATACCTGCTCTTGGTTCCTGGTATTAGAACCACCTATACCTGGTCCTGGTTCCTGGTATTAGAACCACCTATACCTGGTCCTGGTTTCTGGTATTAGAACCACCTATACCTGGTCCTGGTTCCTGGTATTAGAACCACCTATACCTGATCCTGGTTCCATGTTAGCTCTGCTATGCTCTGCTCTAGATCTGTCTGAGTCTCAGTAGAAAACTGCCGAACTTCTCCAAACTAGAAATATCATTGAAGGTACCTTAAAGGGATTGTAAGCGTGATTTCAAGTGATTCACCATGCGAAAATGACAATAATCGATTCACAATGGTACCCTAAAGACCTTTATCTGATCAATAATCTGGAAGATGTTGTCGTTTTCTGCAGTGATTTTCTAAATAAGCCGGAATAATATGAATTGATTGATTACTTCAAAGTCGTCTTTGACCCTTAGAAATAGTTTGCGGCATTCATCATAGGTGACCTGTTATAGCAATATTTTTTTATGACACAAAAGTCATATAAAAAGCCTAGTCCTGCCATTTCCAAAATGTGGTCTGCTATTTTTGTGGTCTCATAATTACCGGAGATATAAATAATTTAGTTCAGAATAAGACATTTTTATGGTTTTATTTAATGAATTGAAATTTAAACCAAATTCTTAATTTCTCTGGTATTTTGGAGAGCGAAAAACTAGCAGCTCACATTTTGAAAATCGCAGGATTAGGGCTATTTTGTTATTATTGTTACCTATATTGAATATCGCAAGCTTTTTTTTAAGGTCAAAGGTGACTTTGAAGTTATCAGTCAATTCATATTATTCCGGCTTTTTTAGAACATCACTGTAGGTAAAAGTGTTTAATTCTGATAATTCCTACATGCGTTCCTACAGTAAAAATGCTCAAGTCATTTTTGTGGAAAACCCAAAATAATTAGTTTTCAATATTATACAATATCTACAATATCTTGTTAATACTTGATCAGACAAAGGTTATAAGGGTACCAATGCGACGTTCATTACCATCTATGCATGTAAGCCGTTAGGTCCCTCAAAATTGCGTTTAAGTCTCTTTACAGCATTATTTTAAATGACTTTTGTAGATGTTGTAAGCAATTCCCAACAGTAAAATTTCTTCCTAATCTTAGTTTTCACGCAAATGAAGTTTTCATTTTCAATTTTAAACATCCAATTAACATTTCTCAGAAGAGGTTAATATATAGGGTTATGTTGCGGATTGATTTTTAAGGTATTTTTTTTAGAAGTATTTGAGCTACAAAATATTTAAGACAATGTTCCCCATCATGGGAAGAGAGGAGAGAAAATACCTTATTCTTTAAACCCTTAGAATCTATTCCCTGGCCAGGACTGGTGGAGGAGGAGCAGACTGGTGGGCGTTTCCCTGCTCTCTGGTTGGATCCTAGAGTAGGATCAGCTGACGAGCTGACCGCCAGCAGAAGATCTTCAGTTTGTAAGCTCATATCAGTGTTTAATACAGGGGGAGCTGTGACAGGTTGGAGGGACATAGCCTGGGGATGAGACGATGAATGAGTAGAGTGATGAATGGCAGGATGATGAATAGATACAGGGGGAGAAGGATGAAAGGATGGAAGAGTTTCTAAATGTTCGAGTGTTGGAGGAGAATCAGGTTCAGAATCTTCAGATAAAATTCTTAAAATAAAGATAATCAGAATTTGGCCAAATACAGAAAAGAATAACATTATTTCTCGAAAAATATAATAATGTCGTCTTCAGCAACAATATAATCTCTTTTGTCATAGGATTGATTGATTGATTGATAATCGTTTATTTCTATATACCTTGTTACTGGTATCTTAAATCTGTTTTTTTTCATAGGTGTAATTTTTGATGCATTTAAAACATTTTTAAAGATTTTTAAAGTGAAAAAATTCGCGAAACTTTTTTGGAATTCTTAATTTATATTAAAAACGGATGGCAGAAATAAGAAAAAACACAATATTAGTGATACTTCCTGATTGACTGAACAGTACATTGGATCTATTTTATTAAAGTTTAGGGGATTTACTTGTGAAAAATAAAAAAATTACATTCCAAATTCAAACAAAAATACACATGAATTTATTGTTTGAATAATTTTCTATTTCTGACCTCATAAATCTAGCTCGTGGACTTGTCTGTGTCCCATTAGTGTTCCGCATTAATGGCCAGAAATCCTGCCAGTTTATCTCATTATTCAAATCTAAACAAAAATCCTGCCAGTTTATCTCATTATTCAAATCTAAACAGAAATCCTGCCAGTTTATCTCATGTTTATCTCATTATTCAAATCTAAACAGAAATCCTGCTAGTTTATCTCATTATTCAAATCTAAACAGAAATCCTGCCAGTTTATCTCATTATTAAAATCTTAATAGAAATCCTGCCAGTTTATCTCATTATTGAAATCTTAACAGAAATCCTGCCAGTTTATCTCATTATTCAAATCTTAACAGAAATCCTGCCAGTTTATCTCATTATTCAAATCTTAATAGAAATCCTGCCAGTTTATCTCATTATTCAAATCTAAACAGAAATCCTGCCAGTTTATCTCATTATTCAAATCTTAACAGAAATCCTGCCAGTTTATCTCATTATTCAAATCTTAACAGAAATCCTGCCAGTTTATCCCATTATTCAAATCTTAACAGAAATCCTGCCAGTTTATCTCGCTATTCAAATCTAAACTTTCTTACAAAGAAGAAAATGTGTAGAGTAGAAAATAATGTAAAACAATAACTGTGTCTACAAACATTGTTAAAAACTAAAATTTAGAAAAAATAATAAACGGTAAAAAAGTGTCACAAGAAATAAGGGCGCAAAGCGCCAATTAAGTAATGTTTTAAATAAGGGTGTATATTTTTCCAAAAAATCATTCCCCCCCCCTTTTGAAAATATTTTTTTTCTCCCATAAGTCTTCCGTGGTTACGATTTTTTCCGCGGAATAAAAATGAAATCCCCCAGGGGGTGGCGGTGGGGGATTAATTTAGAAAAATATACAAAACCTTCCGAAACTACAGTGGGTTACCTAAATCTAGAGCTGTCATATCAATTGTCTGAGTTGTCATTTCCGATCTATCTTGACTATCCTATTAAAAATACAGAATTCAGGGAATAATATTTATGAAATTTATTTCCCAAGACTTAGGACAGAAATGTAAATTCAGCCTCTTGGCTTACACAATCTCTGAGATATTGCGGTAGATGAGGGGGTACAGGGGTGTATCTTTCCTTGAAAAAAAATTTTCCCCTAAAAAAAGTATTTTTGTTTTTTAGGGTTTGGCTGAATTGAGGAAAATAATTGATTTTCAGGGGAAAATAATTGATTTTTAGGGGAAAATAATTGATTTTCAGGGGAAAAAAAAAAATTTTCAGGGGAAAAATTGATTTTCCGGGGAAAATAAATAAGCTTTTGGGTAAAAAGTTAGAAAAAGGATTAAAAACTTGGTTTTTAATGTCCAATTTTTCATTTTCCCACCAAGATCTTCATACTCATTTAATTCTTAAAAATATAATATACAGTACATCAGCTGACGAGCTGACCGCCAGCAGAAGGTAGAAGATCCTCATGAGTCTGGGTTTCTATATGAGAAAGAAGGTTTTCTACTCCTAGTAGATCTAGCTCTAACCCATCCTAAATATCCTAGTTTTTTCCCTTGATCACCTTTTTTGTTAGGAGCTTTTTTGGGGGGGATATTCTGCACTGTGATCCTTGGGACATCTTCTCCTGTTTCAATCTCTAAAAATTTATTTAATGGAACTAACTGCATATATGATGGTGTTTTAACTACAAAACATTGCATGTGCTTAATGTTTATTTTCAAAAACTATTCTTTCTAATTTTGACTAGGATTTAATGGCAGAAAGTTTTGAATTTAAAGGTATAATTTAAATATAATTTCTAATTAAAGTTTGGATTAAATATAAGGATATATTTCATTCAAATTCATTTCAGATTTTTCCTATTGCTGAATGGGGGCTAAAAAAATTAAGTTTTAGGCAAAAAGTATCAAAGGAGAAAATTTGCTAGTTGATGTCTTTATCTTCGAAAATAATTATAATAAAACTCCAAAAATAAATCATTAAATTAGCCATTTGAAGGGTAAACATGAAATGGAATTCAACTTGTAAGATTTTCCCCCCTTTTTCTTTACCTAACAATAATTTTTCTCCAAAATTCAATTTTTTCCAATAAAATATATACCCCTAGTGTTACCTTTGGTTTGACAAGATATTCACCGAGGGTTTGAACCTGGGAGTTTACAACAGTATTCTGCTTCCTCTTCCCCCGAGGCCTAGTCTGGGTCTCAGCTGTTACTTTCCACCTAGATCAGGCACACTGGTTGGCGTTAATATCAATACAATTACGACGACTTTCTATTTAGGTTTTTACTATCCCAATTGAGGTATGTTTTCAGCCTTTTAAACCCCAAATAATATAATGGAAAATCTAGAATGTTCAGTAAATTCAATATTTTTCGATTTTTCTATAAAATAAAGCTCTTAATTTTTTCGGGAACTCATGTGCAGGGTAACAAAAAATTTGTTTACAGGTTTATGCATTTCTGTAATATGAATAAACTTTACAAAAATCAAAACTGAATTAAGTTGTCTTCATTGAATATACATGACAACAACTGCATATATATTGACGACTTTTTGGATTTTAAAGGAGGCATTTTAAAAAGGAGCAAGAAAAGTCCCTTTTTTAGTTCTACAGAATTTTACATTAAGTTGGGCCTTAGTTTTCAATAAATCCACCTTCCTCCGTCGCATACGTCTCGTTTAACCGGAGAACATCGTTGGTTATCTATCCTCATATCTGTCTATCCAGCATCAATATATTGAACATCACAAATATCTTGAAGTGTTTAATACACTAATTAACCCCCCCTCCCCCTGGCATCTTTATGATCCAATCAGAGTTCAGGAAAGTGCTTACTGCTTAGTGACGCACTTTGGCTCAAAGTGTCGAAAAAACGGAAACAATTAAGTGCTGCTTAGATGCTTACAAAATCAATCAAAGAATTAAAATGCTAATCAGCATTCATTGTGTTTATCATTCAGCATGCATTGAGATGCCTTGCAGGCTGGATGCATCTTCTTGATGACCGTTGAAAAATTTTTGTTTTGTCATCAACCATCAATAGGGTAAAAGTTGAGCTGTGCGCATTCTGTTCGGCATGCTGTCAATTTTTTTGAAAAATATCAATCGTAATATAGATTTATATTTTCTGGTTCAATGAAACGATTTTAAGGCCCAAGTTGAGGTTTATACACATGGGCATGCTTGATGCATGCTGGCCAATCAAATTGTTTGAAGATATTCTGATAGGTTTTACAATTCTGGCTGGTATACTAAATGCATGCTGACCGCAAAATAATTCACATGATATCAGTCTGTATCATGTGACAAAGATACTGAACTGCAATTGGCTGAAGTTCCGGTAACGTAATATAGACTATACGGACTGTATGTAATTGTATTATGAATTATATCTATTATAAATGCAAAAAATGTTATAATAGGAGCAAACCTGAGATTCTCAGGCTCCTGTGGGATATCGTCGTTTTCAGATTGGTTGCGTATTTGTTGAATATGATCTGTTCAATACAACAACTTTTATACAAAATTGCATATAAATGAATTTTCGTAAAAATTTTACACAGTTTTATATCAATTTCTTGAGACGGGAACATCAGAATGATGTTTCATTCTCAGGTTTTATCCTATACCCCCTTTCATTTTTCATTTACAGTCCCTTTAATTAGAGATAATAAATTATCTTTAAGTGAAAATAAATTTTTTTTTGTAAAATATCNCGGATCCAGGAAGCCAAAATATTGCGGATCCAGGAAGCCAAAATATTGCGGATCCAGGAAGCCAAAATATTGCGGATCCAGGAAGCCAAAATATTGCGGATCCAGGAAGCCAAAATATTGCGGATCCAGGAAGCCAAAATATTGCGGATCCAGGAAGCCAAAATATTGCGGATCCAGGAAGCCAAAATATTGCGGATCCAGGAAGCCAAAATATTGCGGATCCAGGAAGCCAAAATATTGCGGATCCAGGAAGCCAAAATATTGCGGATCCAGGAAGCCAAAATATTGCGGATCCAGGAAGCCAAAATATTGCGGATCCAGGAAGCCAAAATATTGCGGATCCAGGAAGCCAAAATATTGCGGATCCAGGAAGCCAAAATATTGCGGATCCAGGAAGCCAAAATATTGCGGATCCAGGAAGCCAAAATATTGCGGATCCAGGAAGCCAAAATATTGCGGATCCAGGAAGCCAAAATATTGCGGATCCAGGAAGCCAAAATATTGCGGATCCAGGAAGCCAAAATATTGCGGATCCAGGAAGCCAAAATATTGCGGATCCAGGAAGCCAAAATATTGCGGATCCAGGAAGCCAAAATATTGCGGATCCAGGAAGCCAAAATATTGCGGATCCAGGAAGCCAAAATATTGCGGATCCAGGAAGCCAAAATATTGCGGATCCAGGAAGCCAAAATATTGCGGATCCAGGAAGCCAAAATATTGCGGATCCAGGAAGCCAAAATCTTCCGGATCCAGGAAGCCAAAATATTGCGGATCCAAAGAATGCGGTTTTCTACCGTCTTATGTTTACTATCAAAAATCCCTAAATTCTCACCTTTTTATATCTGCTGGGAATGATATGCCCTAATCTTCTCGAGTGGGTCTGTAAGCCTGACAACAGGAGTGTTTTCTCAGTTAGTATTATTGTTTCCTAAGCTATTAAAAAAATTTAGATTTTTTGAGGATCTGAAAAAAAATTGGACATCAAAAGACAAGTTTTTTCAATCTTTTTAAAGATTCATTTATTTTTCCCCCCTAAAAATCATTGATTTTGCACATTTCAGCAAATATAAACCCTAAAAATATTTCCACTCCTCGCAAACATACATTGAGGGGATTAATGAATTTCAAAGGGGGAAGGGGGAAGAGGGAATGCTTTTTGGAGAAAATTTACGTCCCTGATATTTAGTAAATTTAATGAACAAAAATATTACAGAGTACACTCCTGCCTTCGAATTGTTTATAACTGGACCCGCACCCGCACTCAAACCTTTCACCACATTCCTCCCTCTTTATGTGCGTTCTCAAATACAGCTGCGAGGCGAACTTTTCCTTGCATATATCACATTGTAGGTCTCGTGAAGCGTGCATCTTGGCGTAGTGCTGCTTGAGTAGCTTGAAGGTTGAGAAGAATTTGGTTTGGTTTGACTCTGCTATATTATATTTACAGGATGGGAGGGGACAGAAGAATGCTAAAGGAAGGTTTAATTTAGAATTTGGCCGCTCAAACAAAATGTTCTCTCCTAAAAAATGGTTTGATCTACGTCGCTAAACTACCTACTGCCGGTTCAAAAGGATATCAATTGGTGATTCAAATTTGAAAAGGTGGTAGGCAGTGGAAATTCATTAGATTTGTTCCCTTCCCACTATTACTACGGTTGAGGTTGACCAACCCCGTTTTCAAATTTCTGAACAACCTCGCGTGATTATACGTTTCCTGGTGAGGTAACTAGGTTTGGTTCAGACAAAAGGTTGCCAAAAATATTTACAAAATTAAACACTGTTAAAAGGTTAAATAATTAAGGGGTATATCCTCCCCCATGCTTTACTATATGATTTTGGTCTGGAACGTAGAATGTTGAAAATAAAAAATGTTGTCAACTCTCGGGTTAAAGAAAATTGAATAAATAGATGTACCCAAAAATACTTCTGGTTAAAGTTTCGAGGTTTTGATTTTTTTTCTCTATTTATTTAATAAAAATCAAAAGTCTGCTCAGATTCAGGAATCATTGCAATCATACTACAAATTTCTAGTCAATAAGTTATAAATAAGTATTTTTTTTTTTAAATATTTAAAAATATTATACACTGTTAAAAGAAATTCTAGTAATCTTTCCTATCGTCTGTTAAGAGCTAGTCTTCATGCTAATTATTTTTGTCCAAAATGGGAAATTGTTTTTATCAAAATAATATTAAGTGATCCTCCATTTATAGGTTCACACCGGGACCATTAAAAACTTTTAACGATCAAGAATGAATGAATGAGATATCCATGTTTTCCTCTCTAACAATTGATTGTTTGTAATCGTGGTTTCTGCCACGGAAACAAGTGAATTCCAATTCGAGAAAAACGACGATATTGGTCAGGAACAGGTGTGAAAAGGTACCGGTGGTAATCAAGAAAGGATGATCAATTTTAAACATTTTATAAAAATACTTTGCTCGTCTTTTTGTTCGTTTGAATCCTTAATAAAAGTCAAAACGGCTGAACCGATCGGGCCAAACTTTGTGCAGGACCTCACATGACCCCAGGAAAGCTTTATGGATGTTCAGAAGTACAAAAAAAATTAACCAACTTTTTGTGGTTGATTTTTAGTAAAATTTTTAAGAAAAAAATATAAAATCCACAAAAAAAAATATTATTGTTTTATAGAAGAGAAATGCTGAAAGATTGAGCAACAATTAAAAGTTGAACTAGAAGATGAGCGCAAAGCCTAGCATAAATAAAGTGACTGTTCCTGAGTGCAAGGGCTGCTCTGAGGTGGTTTGTGGACGGGAAGGGTGTTATCGGAATCAAGTTTGATAAACTCCCCTGCAGTTGGTTCAACCTTTCCTTACCCTCATCCCGGGGCTTCAGGATCTACATGTTGGAAAAATTAATCATTAAGGGGGCCGGGCAGCTAAAAGAGGGCAAACCGGCTCCGAATTCAAGGTTTTCTAATATTTTAACCATTTAAAAAAATTTTCTTTCTTTTTTTGGGAGTCTAATGTTAAAACTTGATGAACTTTTCCGAGATTAGAAAATTTTTAAGTAATCTCGAATTAGCTTTAAAAGTTGAATTTGTTGTTTAAAACAGCCTTCTTGATATTTTGCTATTCCGGATCCAGGAAGTCAAAATATTGCGGATCCAGGAAGGCAAAATATTGCGGATCCAGGAAGCCAAAATATTGCGGATCCAGGAAGCCAAAATATTGCGGATCCAGGAAGCCAAAATATTGCGGATCC